ATACGTTATTTCTAAGGAAAAAAAATCGTATAAAAACTTTATAAAAAACGTATCCAATTTTTTTATAGGGCTGTACCTTCTGCTATTGCGTTCCAAATTATCAAGAAGCTATTGAAGAGAGAAAACAACCATCAAAATTGCATGTCACGTTGAAGAAATTTCTTAAAACTTCTATGACGTTTGAGAATTTTTCAAGTCGTAATAGCTATTCTCATTTATCTAATTGGCACTTGGTTTTATAAATGAGTCTATTATTTAACTTATTTAATGAAAATCTTCATGTAGATTTATTTATACGACCTTTTTTTTTAAAAAAAAAACGAAGATGTTTCCAGACTAGTGATACCAACTAAACTGATTGGTTTTTACTAAATTATAATTGAAGCAAAAACCAACGTTGTTAAAATAGTTTTAACTTGCTAAATCACTAGGTATTCTCCATTTCCCTTCCCCTTATTCCCTCACTCTTTCACTTTCCTTTATTTCCTCTCGCTTTTCCCCTCCCTGATCAATGTTGTGCACCTCAACGTTGGTGATCAGGTGATAACAAGTTTTTTAAAAAGATTTGGCTAAGTCAGCAACAAATATTAACGATTTGTTTTTATTCTATAATTAATATTTAATTATTCAATTTTTAATTTTAACTTTCGCAAATTTATTAATAATATGGACCAGCAAATATTACTTGAAAACATTTGTAATTTATAAAAAATTTTGAATGAAAAAATATTTTAGATATTTTTTAGTGATAAATAACATTAAAATTTATTAAGACTGAAAATTTAATGTTTAATTGTTTCAGTTTCTCTACCGACTTTGGGTTTCTCCGTTGACTTTTGTTTTAATGATTTCGGGTGCTTGAGACGAGTGACGCATGCCAGTACATCTGATGCATACTAGCTTTCAACTGACACAAATCGAAACCCTGATGCACAACATATATATTTATTTATATATTAGAATATTGTTGATTGCTTGTTTTTGGTTTTTATAAGCAATATAAATTTATTATACTTGATGCATATAGCGTGCATTCCATTTTCATTTTTAATTTCGATCTCTCTTGATACGATTGATACGTGTGATTTTTTTTATTCAAAATTTTTAATATATTACATTTATTTCTCAATTTGAGAATTCAACGTGAGGACGTAAGGTCGTTTTTCATGATAATTGTTATGGATTTAATGTAATTTGCTGTGAGTCACATAATTGTTATATTTTATGCTTGATATTTCCTTTCATGTATAATTAGAATGGTTACCATCTTATTACAAACTATTAGAAAGTTTGAAAATCAAAAATTAAGTTTATAGTAATGAAATATGATAATTAATGGTATGAATCTAATTTTAAAATTTTTGACAATTAGTTTTTATATACGGTGAATATATTTTTTTATCTTATTTTAGTTAATATATATTTTTGCTGTCACAATATCAGATATTCTTAAAACTTTTTTGAATGAATTAACCAATGAACGGCTAACACGTTTTGATAAATCATTGTAAAGGAAAAAAAGTATTCCAATTATTTCCGATAAAAAAAAATTCCGATAGTCGGATCCGAGTGGTGCGTAGCTTGAATGTGTAGATCCTTTTTTTGATAACGCCAGGCCGCATTATGTAATTCTGGCCCTGAAGGGACTCGTAGAGCTAATAGTAAATGTGTGCCGATCTCTTGTTATATATTTTGCTCGGGTCCTGATTAACTTCAAAATATTCCTTTTTTAGTAACTCATAAATATTTTTAATGGAGTTTCCAACACAAAAATTGTTCGTATCGCTACAAACCCTTTTACATTTAGAATAATGGAAGGATGGACCAATTGGAAATCTGATATTGACAAAATGATAAGTTTATAAAAAATGCAATGTATTATACTGTATGTATTATAAATGTCTTAGGTAATCTGGCGGCGGTACAGCCGCCGCACATCAACCTAATCTAGTGATATGAAAAACGATGAATCATGTGAAATCATCGGCTAATCATGCAAATACTTTCGATTAACTAAATCTCCTGTCACAAATTTCTTTATTATTCTAATGTTAAAAAAGTTTAGAATTTTTAGAATTGAACAATTATTTAATGAAAAGTGGAATTATAAAAATTAAATTTAATGTATATCATAATACAAGTAATCCTCGAATGTTAATAAAGTACATCTTTCAATGTTAAATTGATAGTTTAATTATTAACTATGAAGATTGCGGGACAATTACGTCTTTCATCTGTTTGTGTTCCGAATTAACTAATCCTGTTTAGGAAATTAGTTGATCCCGTGATAACCATATTAACGAATTTGGTGGAATTTGGGAGTTTGTTTCCATAAAGATTTTCAAGTTTCAGGTTACACGAAAAATAATTTATTATATAAATGAAATTATTCCAAATTTTTGCCGATAAGAAAACAAAAATCCATTTTTTTTCAATATTGTTAAAACTTCAAAAAGTATGAACAAAGAAAAATTTTTTCGACGTTTGAGAATTTTTCAAATCGTAATAGCGATTCTCATTTGTCTAATTGGTAATTTATAATTCACATTATTATAAATGAGTCGATTATTCTAACAAAAAATTTTTATATATATTTATTCTAAATTTTTTCATTAAAACAAAAAAAAAAAAGAAAAGGTGAAAATTTACTCATATGAGACGTATGAAAGTTTGGATATTGCTTATTATACTATTGATCCTATTGGTCCAGACCACATTACATTTTTGGTTTGGGATTTTGATTTTTGCGGGTAAGTTTATTTAGATTTTTTTTTTTTCTTAAAAAAAATAAAATAAATCTATAAATTTTTTATTACAGATCTAATTTTCCCAATACCACTGATGATTATGATAATATTATTCTTACAAGTTTATACGACCCTCCGAACTTTTATTATAACGAGCAAGTTTATAATTTATTTTTTTTTATTAGGAAAAAAAAATCGATTTTGGAATGATTTTTGATTTTATTTTTATATACTGTAGAACTTTCATCGATTTGGATTACTATTATGGCTATATTGTAATTGCGACCATCTCATTAATTTCATTAGGTAAATAATTATTAAGTTTTATAACTTGTACATAAAAAAAAAATAAAATATTCTTTCTAATTCTTCTAATTCTTTTCGCTTTCAAATATAAAAGCATATAATTTATTTAGGGCAGAGAATCCACACTTCACAAATCAGTTTTTGAGAATATTTAAAATATATGATAATAACCTTGATTCGTACGTAATATTTTTATTTAATTTTAATTAAATTAAAATTATTAATAATTTATCATGTGTATTTATTTAGAATATTATTGATTGGTTGGTTTTTTACAGGTAAAAGCAGTATAAGTTTTATTTAATATACTTGATAATTTTCTGATTTCATTCTTTTTTAATTTCGATCTCTCTTTATATACTTTAGCTATTACAAGTACTCTTAAATTCTTTACAAATATGGATGATATGTGTTATGGATTTAGTGATTTAAGCGTAACATTGGCTGTAATCCTCTGTGCGAGTCATATAATTGGTTATATTTTATGTTTGTTAATGTTCCTTTCATGTATAATTAGAATGGTCATAAAATATAGAGAGAATTCTCATCAAAATGATGATGAATATGAATACGCTCCTTTATTAAGGGATGATGTTGATGCGAAATTAATTGATGATGAAGAAATTAACGTGAAATGTATTGAAGCTTATAAGAAAGAAACTGAAGTTGATGTAAAGTTGATTGATATTTGATGATTCAGACGGAAAATAAAAGTATAAACGGAATAATTAGTATTTTCATATTAAAGAATTGTAAGGTCAAAATTCATTTATAGTGTTTATAATGAACTAATTAGGTCCAAAAACATTTTTTTACTGAGAATCAATTAAGTTCAAACACATTTTTTACATAATTTATTATACTACGCTACGAATTGTAATTCCACATTTCATAATGGTATATCCAATTAATGCACGTCGAATTTTTTCGTCGAATTATCAGAGTTTATTTAGATATTTATAATTATAAATATATTCGTGTCACACTTGATCTACTAACTAAATATAAATACTCTTTTACGCAACTTAAAGCTTGAATTTTTTGAATTTTTGACGCATTATTATAGATGTCGCGTTGACCCTTGGCGTGCTACGTGCTGCGTGACCGCAATCAAATTCCAAATTTAACGAAATATATTTAGCCACTTTTAACCAATTCATCAACGAACTTTTGATCTTTTTTTTTTTTAAGTTAAAGTTAAATAGTGATGTTCTTTTATTTTTTTGAATTACAACAATATAATAAAAAATTTATAGAATTTGTTATGAAATTGTTCCAATATTATAAAAAAATCCTTAACAATATGACTTGGATCAAATAAAAAAAAATCAATTTTAATTAACATAATAATTTCAAATTTATCAGAAGAATGTTTTTAAAATTATACTTTGTTCAAATTCTTATAGACCTTTATTTAATTATATAAAATTTGTAATTATTTAAATTTAAAAAAATTTAAAAGAATTTGATGAATTTATTTATATTACGGATGATTAAGCTTTTTTTATATTAATGAAAATACAAACTTATTTTATCTTATTATTTAAGTTTTTCTTTACATAATTCACCTGGTGTAATTCATTCACTTTTCAGAACTTGAATTTCTTTAATTGTCAAATATTTTTAAGATAAAATTATCTGATTTGGATGCTACTTATCATATAGAAAATTAATCATTATCTTTATTAAAAATTTTAAATTTTAGAAATGTTTCAGTCAAAATATTTAACAAATTTAATTAAATGGTCCGAAAATAAGGGTAGAAGTTCGATTCTATTTTCGTTTTATTTTGTCCTTTCATTTCCTTATCAGCGAAAATACCTGAAATAAAAACAATTTAGTAAGAACATGTATGACCTCTTTTAAATCATATCATATCATATATATGTATATATAAAATTTCCTAAAAGCGTGTTTCCGGCTACACCTCCTATTAGACCAATGAGCTCTTTTATTTTTCATGTTCATCTATTAATTTCTCAAAAGGTATGAACGTTAAATCTTTGGACTATACTTCAATAGAGCTAGAGCTTGACATAGATGCTGAGAGGTGGTAAATATTTATCTGGTCATACGCGCCATCCTCTCGTCCTCGTAGGTCTCTTAGAAAGAGAACAATTAGTTTAGCTAACCGAATGAACTACTTGAAAAGAAAAATTTCGTGTTGAAGATACATAGGCCAACTCTCATTTGGGAAGGCCAGTCTCTTCATAAGCAGCTCCAGCGTTACGGCGATCAACGCTTTGGTATATGTCAAGAGGGGTGTTCCCCGAGGGGTCCTCTATTGTATCCTCACGCCTGGCTTTCACGCTTTTGCTACTTATACGAAGTGCAAAATTTTCTTTAAAAATAGTTCACCTTTTTCACCTTTCGAAAGAAATAGAAAAAAAGAAATTAGTTTCTGAAAAAAAAGAAAAAAAATTTGATTAAATAGAATCATAAGTTTCTGAGTATGAATTACAATAGTATCCATCATGTGGATTGTAGCGCGATTGAATTTTTTTACCGATCGGTATTTATAATAAACTAATTATGTTACAAACTGCAAAGGATTTCTCCATATAAGCAAACTCAGTAAGCTTTTAGTTAAACAAGTGATATTCACCGAACTTTAATCATGCTTATACTATTTATTATATGAAAAACCTATAACGTAACGCGTCTGTACTCCTATTAGCTGTATAATAAATAATTTATATTGTAGTTAACAAAATTTTATTGATCTATTGATCTTAAATAATTTTCCGAGAATAATAAGTTCACCCAAAGTAAGATTATCTCTTCGCTTGATTGTTTGGATAAAATCCTTTCACCTGCTTTTTATAGTTGTTGTTACTGTAAAATATATTTTTAATTTAAAAAATTGCGTACTTTAGAACTTTTATTTCGATAAAATCATGAGTCAAGATTTAATTGGATTAGAGATACTTATAAATTAATATAAGTGATATATTTAATTGGGTTAAATTACATCAAAACCAATTAATTCTTTTGATAATTGACATCCTATCTTATTATAAACTATTAGAAATTTGGAATGTTTAAAATCCAAAATTAAAATCATTTAATTCAAAATTATAAACCTAAACTAAACTCCTAAAGGTATAATAATGAAATAAGAATGATTACTATGGTTACTAACTTTAAAACTTCTGAATGAATTAAATAATTAGTTTCTTTATATATATTTTAAATTTTTGTCCGGAAGACTATATATGTTTTCGAAGGACTATGTCAAATAGTGTCACGTGACGATATCCGGTTGTCCGCACGCGACACGTCATTGAAATTTCGTGCTACATCAGATTTGTGATACATCAGATAAACAAGATAAAGGTTTATTTATAACCTTTTTTTCGCTCCGGACTTACAACAGGACCCAGAAATATATATATAGGGGTCAGGTGGCAAAAAATTTTTTTACTATGAGCTGTACGCAGAGACTTTTTATATGAGTAGTACGCATAATTGATACCTGATATTGAAAATCCTGCAAAAATACGCAAATAAAATTTCAGACATTAAGTTATTAATTATTTTATCATGGCTTCTCTATTATTTATAAAACCAAATACTAATGTGAAAAAATAGAATTTACCATTTTT